TGGGGAGGCCTCAGGAAACTTACAATTATGGCAGAAGGGGAAGCAAACATATCCTTCTTCACATGGCGGCAGCAAGGAGAAGTATGAGTGCCCAGCTAAGGGGGAAGCCCCTTATAAAACCATCAGATCCTGTGAGAACTAACTCACTATCACGAGAACAGGATGGGTGAAACCACCTCCATGATTCAATTCTCTCCACTTGGTCCCTCCCACCACACGTGGGGATTATGAAAACTCAAGATAAGATCTGGGTGGCGACACACACAAACTGTATCACTATTTATGTCTAAGAAATTAAAAACTGATAAAAGTAGTGAAGCTGTTATTACCAAAGTGTACAGGAGAACAAAATAGAATGTTAATAATGGAATATCTGATAAAAGTGAGAAACCTATATGCATAGCTGATTGAAAAAAAAGCTAGAACAGCTTGATGGCCTAAATACATATAAGTCGAATGGAAAAAGAAGTCAGGTATGGTGGTATATACCTGCAGTTCCAGCTATTCAGGAGGCTGAGGCGGGATCACTTGTGGCCAGGAGTTCAAGGCTGCAGTGCACTGTGAAAGCACTTGTGAGTAGCCACTCACTCCAGCCTGGGCAACATAGTGAGACCTGTCAGAAGGAAGGACGGGAGGGAGAGAGGGAAAGAAAGAGAAAGAAATAAAAGAAAGAACAGAAGGAACGAAGGAGGGAGGGAGGAGGGAGGGAGGGAGGAACAGAAGGAAGGAAGGAAGGAAGGAAGGGAGGGAGGGAGAGAGGGCACGGTGGCTGACACCTGTAATACTGCACCTTGGGAGGCAGAGGTGGGTAAATCACTTGAGGTCAAGAGTTCAAGACCAGCCTAGCCAACATGGTGAAAACCCGTCTCTACTAAAAATACAAAAATTAGCCCGGCATGGTGGTGTGTGCCTGTAGTCACAGCTACCCAGGAGCCTGAGGCAGGAAAATTCCTTGAACCTGGGAGGTAGAGGTTGCAGCGAGCCAAGATTGCGCCACTGCACTCCAGCCTGGGCAACAGAGCAAAACTCCATCTCAAAAAGAAGAAAAAAGAAAGAAAACACAAATGGAAATAAATTCTCCAATTTTTTCTCAATTTATTCAGATTTGCTCAAAGTTCAGGACTATAAACAAAACCCAACCATATACAAATAAGTCTATCTAAAATATGTTCAATATTTTCATTCATTTTTCAAAATCTAGTAATGTTTGAGGGAAGTTTAAATGACACCTATTATCTATCAAACCTTCAATGGCTCAAAGACTAAATCATGAGAAATTTTCATTTACATATGAAAAATTTTACTTCCAGTCATATTCGTTGCATATAAGTCAATTTTTTAAAATTACTAGATTTTTTTTTTTGAGACAGAATCTCACTCTGTCACCAGGTGCCAGGCTGGAGTGCAGTGGCGCGACCTCGGCTCACTGCAGCCTCCGCCTCCTGGGTTCAAGCAATTCTCCTGCCTCAGCCTCCCGAGTAGCTGGGACCACAGGTGCGCGCCACCACGCCCAGCTAATTTTTTTGTATTTTTAGTAGAGACGGGGTTTCACCATGTTGGCCAATGGTCTTGATCTCTTGACCTCGTGATCCGCCCACCTCGGCCTCCCAAAGTGCTGGGATTACAGGCGTGAGCCACCACGCCCGGCCCACTAGATATTTTAATACCTTCATTAGAGATGTAAATGATAAAGGACCAGATTGTAGGACTTTATGGGCCCCCCCAAAAAATGCCCTCATAACATAAACTAAGACAAATTGTTTAAAATTACTTATGCATCATAATTTTTTTGAGACAGGGTCTCTGTCACTGAGGCTGGAGTGCAATGGTAGGATCATAACTCACTGCAGCCTCAAACTCCAAGGCTCATGTGATCCTGCTCTTTCAGCCTCCCAAAGTGCTAGGATTGCAAGTGTGAGCCACTGCATCTGGCATAGTATTTAAATTTTTAAACAGCTAATTTTTTTAAGTCTCTGGATTTTTTTTTTTTTTTTTT